ATTATTTTTGAAAAGCTATCATCATCATCTGACATGTGTAGGTGGCTATGTTTTAAACATCTCACATCAATACCAGAGTGTCAGATCAGGACTGTGGTCATGCATTGATCATGCTATGTAGAAAAGACATCTAGGTATTTATTTCTGTGTCTTTCCCTTGTTATTTGTCAATCAAGCTTTTACCAAGTTTATTTATCCTCACAATGTGCATACAAAAACATATTGCCTCTCTATGTATAATAAATGACCTATTCATCAATTACATAAAGGACTACTTTAGTTATTTCACTGTCTGCACTCTGTATTTTTTTGCCTTTTTCTCCAAAACCACATTTTTTGCTGTTATTGCATGTGCTTCAGTATTCTAAAGCGGCTCATTGAGTTGCTCTGCACAGACACTTGTAAAAAAAATGCCTATGAACAGCAATGCAAAAAAAAAAAAAAAAAAGAGACCAGATAAGAAAATAATGACAGATGGAAGTTTATAAAACATAAACATGAATTCCTCACTCTGATGATCACTTACAGATCCTATCATTACCAGTTTCACAATTTATAGGGCTTTCCCAGAACTGTGTCTTGCTGACAAATCCTACACCTAGTTCATGTATGTTTTCAGTGTTTCCCTAACAGACTATGATCATTCCATTTTCTTCCTTGGTACCCTGTCCTTACCACCATATTTGTTGTATTGCTGTTATACTGATTGTGTAATCCGATAGTTCACAAGTTTATTGTTCAACTGCTCCATCTCTATAAAGGATTAATAAATTAAATGTACCAAATCTGAAAGTACTTTCATTTTCCGGGGTCCATTTAAATACATCCAGTTCTGAGATTTAGATATCTGCTTCAATATGAAATAAGATTTGGCAAATGTAGGGATGTCGGCCCAACACTTCAACACCCACCCCCCTTCTTCCCACCTGGTTGATCAGGTTCTCTCAATTTGTTTGTTCTTTACCCTTGACCCCTCTAGCTTGAGAGGCCTTGCTGGTCGCTACATACTGCCAACATAGCTCCAAGAATTAGTGAGAAAAGCAAGGTCTCCCACAGCAGAAATTGTGTTTAATTATCCCTGTGATAATTAATTAATTAAATGGTGAGTATACATTAAAATGTTTTGAACACTTGTTATTCACCACTTATTATTTATAGTTATCTATTATGGAATTTAAAGCCCAGAGGCTAACATGTATGTAGTTAATTGGTATGAGGCTAAAAGATATATGGTTGAGCAATGTTCACAGCACATAACTTACACTCTGGTAAACTGGTGTCTACATCAAGAAAATTCTACACAAACACCTCATTACAGGCAAGTGAAAGAAAACAACCTTATGAAATTGTTAACACATTACATGATACAGAACAAAAATATCCTAAATGATGCTCACGTCAAGTTCAACTGTTAACATTTCCAGATTACCCAGTGTCGGAGACCTCAAGAAGAAAACATCTCTAGCACCTTGACAAAAACAGAAAGGTTTGCTTGCTGCACTACCATGGCATAATCTGGTTTTATGTAAAATGTTTCTACTTCCCTTTAGAGTGATGTAAACCTGAAACATAGTTTGGACAGTTCTCATAACATCTAGCTTTGTAAAATCTAATACAGACGTAAGAGACGCTTTATTTGTGTGATACTGTTACAATGTTTAATGAATTTTGCATTACATTTTCAGTCCCATTTTTTTCATGTGGAGGCAGCTGCGGAAAAATGTTAAAAATGACGTAATGCACTTATGGTAATGAAAGTAATAGACATCGAGCAGTAAATGTTGTTCCCAATGTTCCAGCATGTGATTCTTTTGGTGATAGATTATGGACTTGAAATACTTACAATATTAAAGAGTCAGCTGATAGAACTTGAACGCATACAGAGTGAAGCCATGCGGGTAATTCTGGGATGTACAAGAGATAGCAAGATAGCATGTGTGCAATATACACTCGCTGCTGACTTAATAGATAGACTTAAAGTGCTGCAAACAAAGTTTTTTCTAAGAGTAGTTGCAAAAAAAGAAACACCTCCTGCATGAAGCTAAGGGTCACAGACTGTAAAGAGGAAGGTCGTGGATGGTGCAAGCTGAAGATACAATTAGACATGTATACAGGTTTAACAACAATGGGCGATGAGAGGAGTGGGTCAGAGTGTCCCAGCAAAAGTCAGACTTGTGTAGGGTTCTGATCACATTGGGTTGTGAGTGCAGGGACTGGCCAGCTGGTACTGCAGAATCAGAAGTTTAAAAAATGATTCATGACAGTTCTCGCCCAAGCCAAGTGATGGAGTTATCTGTATAGATGGATCTGTATTGAAAGGCTGACACAGTTCATGAGATTCTTAGCAAAAGTGAATGGACCTCACTTAGTGCAACAAAGCCTGGCATGTTACACCACAATTGGAGAATGGAGGTGGAAGAAGTCACTGAAGCCTTTCACTGGCTTGAGATTCAGCTGTACACACATGCTGTGATTGTAACTGACTCACAGAGCATGTTGAGAAAAGTGGAGACTGGTAAGTTCCATGAAGAGTGACAAGCATTGCTTCAGAGGTCTCAAGTAATTAGCATCCTTTGGATATTTTCTCCAGGCATGCTGGTGTATTAGGAAATGAACAGACAGACAGACTAGCTGGTTATGCACTTTGTGATGGTGAATAATGCATGACAAGATAGAAGTTGTAAGGGCCCTTTGGGGGTGTGTGAACAGTGCGAAGGCACGCATGGATCATCATGGTCTGGGGAATGACCAGGTGATCTGGCGACGATCAACATTTATGGGAAATTATACAATAAGACTGTTACTGGTAATATCAGAATTAGAACTCTGTGCTTACTGCCGAAGATGGAGATGAACCACTTATGAGAATGTCCCAAGTTCTGCGATGTTGATTCTTAATTAAACATTAAACTGTAGAAAATAAGGAAACTAAAATACAAGGTCCGACAATTAAGTAATGAGACTAATTCCATAAAAATTAAAACAATCAACAGTTGAAGATATAATCTGTATTTTATTTAAAGTAAGCCCCTTGTGCATTGATACAGTAAGTGGCATGATCTAACAAACACTGGAACGACCTCTGTAGTTCTTCTGTTGCTATGGCCCTTAAAGTCGATTTTACGGTGCTTTAGATGTCATCAATATCGTCAAAGAAACATCCTTTCAATAGTAACTTTAATTTTGAGAATAGAAAATAATCATAGGGAGACAAATCTGGGGAAAAAGGTGGATGGTTGAGAACACACACTTGACTTAAGGCCAAAAATTCCTCTTTTGCTGTCTCGTGGGTACTCAATGCACTGATGTTTTTGGTCATCAGACAACAAATGCGGAACAAACCTGCAAGCAATTTTTTTCTTGACAAAATCTTGCACTAAAATTTTACAAAGGGTCTCTCGATTATCTGCCATCATCCTCACAGTAAAACAAAGATCTTCTTGTATCCATTCTGTGACTTTTGCGATGAGTTCATCATTACAAACAGAAATTGGGCATCCAGGTCTAGTTGCATTAGTAATAATTTCTACACCACTTTTGAATCATGAATTCATTCATTCAGTAGCATGTCCCTCGCGGAACCTCGCTGCCATAACAACCCTCCGGAAAACCTTCCTATCCTGAGCAAGATGTCCTGCGTCTGATACACCCATCTGGAGATCATCTGCCACATCCTGCACCCATCTTCTCCTTGGCCTTCCTCTTCCTCTCTTCCCAGGCATATACCCCTCCATTATTGTTCTCTCTAGACTTCCATGACGTTTCAAGTGACCAAAATATTTCAATTTTCTTTGTTTTATTGTCTTTACTAGCCAACCCTCTTCAATATTCAGCTCTTGAAGTATGGATGCATTTGTTCTTTTCTTTACCCAAGATATTCTTAGAACCTGTCTGTAACATTTAAATTCAAAAGCATTTATGCGCTGTTCCGCTTGTTTAGTAAGTGTCCAGGTCTCACAGGCGTATATTGCAATGGGAAAGATGCATGCTCTTAAAAATCTGACCTTTGTAATTCTATCTGTACAATTCCATAATGAATCATGAATACCACTTACTAATCTGTGCACCAGATAAAGAATTATGCCAATAAACTTGTCGCATCAATTCAACTGTCTCAATGGCGCTTTATCTGAGTTTTAAACAGAATTTAAAATTAGCTTTTTGCTCCATGCTGATTTCGTAACAATGCACATTTAACTAGGTCAATAAAATAGCGGCTTGTTTGTCGTCTGCTTATCAGGTGGTGATGCAAAGTTGCCAGATCATAGATGAAGGTTGCTTCTTTGAATTCCATGCTTTGCTTCATGGATGGCACTTTTGTCTTGGCCGTAATGAAATCAGTCTCAATACTTAATTGTCGGACCTTTGATGTAGGTATTATGAAAAAAATGAATGAATGATTGAATAAATCAACAAGTGAAATTGCTGCATGTGGGACATTTCATTATGTACTCTAACCACCTCCCCAACAGCCAACAAAGGGTCCCCATACTGATAGTGCCAGCTGCAACCTGATTGGAAATTCAGTTTTGTTGTTTGGCTTCCCCTTGCAGATAGAAAGTCATACTGACCCTCTGTTTACTTCCAGCTTAATCATTCTCTTCAAATATGCATGCTCTTTCTATTCTGCTGCACTGTTTACTCGATCCCAGAGCCTTCACAAATTTAATCACAATGCAGCTCATTGCCCAGAGGAGCGGCAGCATCTAATCTTTCAGTCTGTTCATTACTATGCACAACTTAATATCCGAGGGTAAAAAAAATCCATGATATGCTTCTGATATGAGTCTTACAAAGCGTTGCAAGCCACTCTGAGCATAAGACACCAGTTTTAATTTTTTGCGCATACTCTGCGTGTCCGATGTAGTTACAACATATCAAGCCACATTGGAAAACTGCTGTTAATGCTTCTACCTTAATTTTCATGTTAGATGCTGTGACATTATATGTGATGCAATCTTTTGTTTTTTAAATAACTTTCATTCTCCTTTGCAGTCAAAGAGGATATGTCTTTTAATCAGAACAGACTGATCATCACATAATTACCTCTGGCATGTTCAAAGAAAACCCAGACCTTATTTGTAACTCTGAAGAGATCTGCTTCTTTCATAAGTAAATTGCCAATATTTGGCAGTATTACATGATATTAAATTAAGCTATCATATCAGGAAGATCTTCAGCCCTCACTGCCCATCCTTCACTTGTGTGATATTGTCAGAGATAACAAAACTACCTGAAACAGCCACCAGTCTCCTCATCAATCCTACCCTTGCATGGAGATTTTTTTTTTTAGTGCTGAAGCAGTCAAGCCACCATTACCAGCATCCTGTAAATAAACAATCAGCTCCCTGTGTGGGTTCCGGGGCCCCATTGTGGGGAAAACAAGAATAGACCCACTGCCTCCCCAACAAGCATGTCATAAGAGTCGACTAATTGGGGCTTCTTTTGAAGCTGGAATTCATCTGCCTGTTAAAGAGGCAAGAAACCAACAATCTGCATACAATCAAGTCAAATCTGTTTAATGTATGTGCACACAACACTCAGGTTCTGGAACAGGATTAAAGTCCAGAGGTGGACAGACAACTACAACTTTCTGCCGGAGCTTACAGCCAGTAAACGTGAAGAAAAAGAATAATTAGTACATCGCAAGTGTCCTCAGCTAACATATATTAATATCCCTGAAGGCTAATTCACCATCATTCTGGATTCTTTTTTTTCTATATCCATTTTAAATGAAAGACACTCTATCATGCTGAAGTAAAAAACAAAACAAAAACCTGAAGACAAGTGGAATGAAAGAGGCACAGTGATGAATCATTTCTCTTTTAGAAAGACTTTGTTTTTGAATGGTTAGTTCCCAATTTTCAAACTAGGTTGGGTGAAATATGATAAAAAATATTTGATTAAATTACAAAACATTCCAAAGCTAGAGTTTTTTTTTTTTTTTTGCCAGTGCGGCTCTGTGGCTCAGAGGCTAGCAAAGGCAGTTAACAATTTTATGACCCTTGAGTGATTTGGTTCATTCCCCGCGATGGTGTGTAAAAATCCTTTTTCGTGGTTTTCAGACAATGGTACAAGAGTCGCACCATGGAAAAGATTGGGGCCTCATCATGTAATATTCCCAAAGAGAACTGTGATACACTGTAGCCAATCTCCATTGTGAATGCAATACTAAACTTGAAAAAAAAAATTTTTTTTTAGAGGGATATAAATATAATAGGACCATTCTGGGGGGTCACACTCAAATCTTTTCTTCAGTGAAGTTCTGTTAACTCTTTGAGTCCCAGGGAATGCATCACGTGCTAATTTGTAACAACCCTGCGGCCCAATCGACATGTGAAGGTTTTTAATCTAACACTGACCGGTTATAAAACGCAGACCGCTCAATATAAACGTCCTTTCGAGTTCTTTGTGTATGATATAGATAACGTTGCGAATTAGACGTGTTTCAGTCATTTATAGAGTCAAACTTTGATGAGGGATATGTCTAATGTGTACCTCACATGAAGGGTACAATGATAGCAAAGTCAGCTGGCACAAATTAGTGATAAGATGATTTTCTCCAGTGTCAGTTAGTTCTAGTGCTATTCCCCTTAATATTTAGGAACATAGCTACAAAATTACAGGCAAATTGAGCGTTATATAAAATTTGTGTTTTGTGTGCAGCTACTTATTGTTTTTGGAATTTCTTTACCAAATAACGGTGCTCTGTTATGATGCTTCAAAAGATTCTTTGCAACAAAATCTAATGTATAGATTGAGTTTATATTTTACTTATAGTTTACTAATTTTTTCATATTCATTTGTGATTCATTTTGGATATATTTTAACCAGTTTTCCTTTAGTGCCATGGTAGTAAGTAGGGCTGTACCAAATAGTGATTTTCAATCTTCGGCGGAATATAAATAACGGGACCAACTATTCGGCTGAATATGAATTTCAGTTGAATTTATTCAGTTTTGTGCTTTATTTTATGTTGATGTAACTCTGTAGTAACGCACCTGATGAGATACAGCAAAATATGCCTGGCAATAAATTGTGCAATGTATTGTTTGTATCCACATTTTTTAAATATTTCTATATTTCAAACCTAATATTATCTTTAGACTGCCTGATTAGAGCCATTTCTTCATCTGTTAATAGCCCGATCATTTTAAAGTGCAATTTCCAGAATATGCATTCATATCAACTATGAAGTCTTGTGATAGTTAACTGTGGAAGGACACGAGGGAACAGCAAATGTATTAGACAAAATAAGAAGCAGTAAGAGAAACATCAGACATGGAAATGGCATTTTATTTTATGAATTTTACACATTTTCCAAATTACCTTTGATTTAAAGAAAAATTAAACTTTCCTGGTTTGAAATGTGTTAAATTACAGGTACAGAAAAAAAATCAAGCATGACGTAATTTCAACAAATTATACACTTACATTAGCACTTGTGGTTGTACCGCGTTTGTTTCCTGTCCACACAACAACTTTGTATCTGTTGTCAAAGTCTGTAGGAGGTTCTTCAGTTAACTTTGGTCTAACCCTGGGTTGAGGTGCAATGTAACAAATTCTTGGTTTCCCTTCTTTCTTCTTTAGTGCTCGCTGGATATGAAACACAAAAATATTTGTTTTAGGTTTATTCTCTTCTTGCCTGCTTTATCATCACCAAACAATAAAATAAGGCAAATTAATATTATCATACTTCAACACTATCAGGCACCTGTTTTCTAAACTACATACATTTACAAACTCTTTATAATGAAAACTAAGCAAACAATGACAAACACTAACTCATGGATTATTTTTTTCAATGATAAATGTCCAACCTGTCTGAATTTATGACTGTGATCCTGATCCACGGTTGAACACAAATAGCAAAAGTTGACAGGAGCTGAAATTGATCAAAAACTCTTCATGTAAAGATAACATACATTCCTGAATAATTCTTACTGCTTGCTAGCTTATACACAAACTCAGCACTTTTTGTTATTGCTAACACAAGCATGATTCAAGCACTCTTTTTGTATAGTTAAGGCATGCATGATTCAAGAACTTATTTTGTATAGTTAATGAATGCTTGATTCTACCACCTATTTTGTATAGTTAATGAATGCTTAATTCTAGCACTTATTTTGTATAGTTAATGCATGCTTAATTCTAGCACTTATTTTGTATAGTTAATGCATGCCTGATTCAAGGGCTTTTTTGTATAGTTAATGAATGCATGATTCAAGCACTTTTTTTTTTGTATAGTTAATGCATGCATGATTCTAGCACTTATTTTGTATAGTCAATGAATGCATGATTCAAGCATTTATTTTGTATAGTTAATGTATGCATGATTCAAGCACTTATTGTTACAACTAATGCATTATTACGCTCAGCGTGGATCGGAAGGTTGTGGGTTCGCTCCCAAGCGAAGCCGGACTTTAAAAAAAAAATGACCTTGGCTCCCAGGTCGACCAGCCTTGAGTGGGTACCTGGTGCAGTCCTGGGAAGTAAAGGTGACTGGCATGATGCTGACCACATCACCCATCATTTGCCAACTGTTCTATAAAAATATACGTCTGGCCCTATATGCCCTATACACTTAAAGGCGTGAAAAAGGGTCCTTTACTTCTTTATTTTACTTAATGCATTATTGACGCATGCATCTATTCTTTGTCACCTAGTGCATGACTGTTTAAAGCCCTTATTACATAAGCTAATGCATAAATGAATGAAGCCCTTTAAACATTAATCAATGTATAAATGATTCAAGCACATTTTTATTGCTAATGTATGCATGATGCAAACACTTATTGTTTCCCAGCTAATATATTATTGATGCCAGCATCTATTTTTGCTAGCTAAGGCATCAATGAGTCAAGGCCTTATTGACATACCTAATGAAGGAATGACTCAATCTCTTATTGCTTTAGCTAATGCATGAATAATTCAAATACTTTTTGTTATAGCTATTACATGCATGATTCAGTTAGTTAGTTAGTTGGATTATCATCATTGCACTCCAGACATGTCCATAGGTGCTCAGATCCTGCTCTCAGTATGAACCCCAGCGTCCGGTGGCTAATAGTATTGGTTCTGTGTTAATTAACAAATCCTCTGATGTGCCTGATGTGTGCCTCATTTTTTGCCATGCACATTTTAACTCCTGTCTATCATTCTGGCTAGTGATGTGGGTTCACTGCCCCCAAGTTCCCATCCTTTCCATTTCCTGGAGGGCATTAACAGTATCAACCTGATCCTAAGGTTAACCGTCAGTAGGGATGGCAGATCCAGCCAACCTATCAGCTCTTTATTCATTATAAGCATTTACCGTTATAGTTAATGAAAGAAGGACTCAAACCCTTATTGCTTTAAATAGAACGGGAATGATTCGAGCACTTTTTGTTATTGCTGATGCATGCATGATTCGAGCACTTTTTGTTATTGCTGATGCATGCATGATTCGAGCACTTTTTGTTATTGCTGATGCATGCATGATTCGAGCACTTTTTGTTATTGCTGATGCATGCATGATTCGAGCACTTTTTGTTATTGCTGAGCATGCATGATTCGAGCACTTTTTGTTATTGCTGATGCATGCATGCATGATTCGAGCACTTTTTGTTATTGCTGATGCATGCATGATTCGAGCACTTTTGTTGATTCTGATGCATGCATGATTCGAGCACTTTTTTGTTATTGCTTATGCTGCTGATGCGAGCACTTTTTGTTTTGCTGATGCATGCATGATTCGAGCACTTTTTGTTATTGCTGATGCATGCATGATTCAAGCACTTTTTGTTATTGCTGATGCATGCATGATTCGAGCACTTTTTGTTATTTGATGCATGCAAGCACTTTTTGTTATTGCTTGCATGATTCGAGCACTTTTTTGTTATTGCTGATGCATGCATGATTGCACTTTTTGTTATTGCATGCATGCATGATTCGAGCACTTTTGTTATTGCTGATGCATTCGAGCACTTTTTGTTATTCATGCATGCAAGCACTTTTTGTTATTGCTGATGCATGCATGATTCAAGCACTTTTTGTTGATTGCATGATTGCACTTTTTGTTTTTGCTGATGCATGATTCAAGCACTTTTTGTTATTGCTGATGCATGCATGATTCAAGCACTTTTTTGTTATTGCATGCATGATTCGAGCACTTTTTGTTATTGCTGATGCATGCATGATTCAAGCACTTTTTGTTATTGCTGATGCATGCATGATTCAAGCACTTTTTGTTATTACTGATGCATGCATGATTCAAGCACTTTTTGTTATTGCTGATGCATGCATGATTCAAGCACTTTTTGTTTCCTAGCTAATGCATTATTTATGCAATAATCTAATGTTTGCTAGCTACTGTATGAATTATTCAAGAACTTGTTGCTTTAGCTAATGCTTAAATGATTCAAGCCTTTCTTGTATTAGCTAATGTATGAATGATTTAGGTTTTATTGCATTAACTTATTACTGAAAGACTTCCGCATTTATTGTTATAGTTAATGTGTGAATGATATCCATGCTTATCCAAATCAGCCAGGTTTCTTTAGCCTCTTTGTATTTGTTCACTATTTCTTAATGTATCAGGAAAAAATTCTCTGGATAACTAACTTGATGCTCTCTACTGTATGTAACATTCTATAAGCCCAGTTTGTGGCACAAGAAACTGGTCATCCTCTAAGGACTATTTCAATCTGCAGTGAACGGTTTGTTTAACAAGTCTTTCCATGACAGCTTAAAATGACTATGCATAACATTTCTACTTCTTCAGTGAAATTCATATCACCCCCCCCCCCCATTCCACCGTGGGGATCATTCATATGTGGCTGAATTTATCATTTATTTAGCAATTTTATCTTTGTTGCTGTACTCAGTATGTGTGTGTATGTGTGCAATTTTATATATATATATATATATATATATAATTTATATATATATATACACACACACACACCCCCCCCCCCCACACACACACACACACATAGTGCTTACTAGATTGAATGCTGGAACCTAAAAACATAAAATCATTTATCAGTAATGTTTAAACCTGCCTGTTAGTGATTCTGTTGAAAGCGTGTCATCATCTTGTGCTGATCTAGACACAGAATAACCAGTCTTCCAGGTGGCAACAACATTAGAGCCAACAGATGAAGAAAGTTCTGTAGAGCAAGTTAAAATAGTATTTTTGACTGACAGTAAAGATAGTTAGGATGAGATATTTGGTTCTGATTGGATAGAAACCTTATTTGTACATTGTCACTAACTACTGTAAATTATCATTGCGATTTGAATATCCTAGTTCTGCTGACTATTTCCTATTGTCCATTTCATTTTGGAAGTCGGTGTTTTGCAAAAAATCATTTCAATTAAGATTAAATTTTCTACAAATAGCTAGCTTTTTTCGATATATACAGTAAAATATTCTGATGCATAGATGTCACAGTTTGAATATCAAAGTCTGAAGTAATTTATCACAAATTTCTAGGCATGGTGATGGAGAAGAACAAAAAAATGCGATTAGTATGATTAAATTTTAGCAAACATTGAATTCATGGTAGTTTACAAGAAAAAAAAAATTCAGTCTTTTCTTTCTCTGTTTTATCTTTCACTGAGGTACAGGTCATTGAACAATTCAGACCAAACCCTTTCACCCTTTGCTATCTCATGTGGTTGCTGCCTTGATCAATGTCCATTTTATTGTTCATGCATCTAATTCCCTTTGTGAGTTTTCATATTTCTCACTATTTTATTTTGCATCAAAATGGATTAATTTCTTTGAAGACATGTTTACTGCGCTTTATCTATACATGGTGCCATAATCATTCTTCTACAAAACTATATCTATGTTGCTATCTTCTAAATTCTCACTAAACTGGTAACTGTTTCTGATTCACTTTCATTCTTCAGATCTACTTAGTTCTTGAGAACTCTTGTCTCACCTCAGCTCACAAAAATATATTCTACGGAATGCGCTTCATCCTGTGAAGTGATGTTTTTTACTTGCAGTATTCTGCATTGAACTTTTTCTTTATTGCCTCTTCCATCTGCTGTTATCAGGCTAGCCACAAATTTAGACACCTAGAACAGCTTCTGACAAGACCCATTCATTTGAGTGTTGTATTCTGAAGGACATTATTTCTTTGTAATGACTGTTTCTTCTGTTCAAAGACCTTCATTTTAGCTTGCATGGATTCCTTGTTATGTCATTGTCAGAAGTATTAGTATACACCACTGTCTAATATAATTTTTAACAGTGTTGAAAAGCTTCTATTTAGTTGCCAACTCTGGCTATTCTTTGTTGCCACTACATATTTGTTTGTCAAGACAGCCATGTGTTTCTCATTTTTAGGTGGGACCTGTACATACCAATCCTTGCTACCCATCACAGAGTATGCTGAGAAAGGTGGAGAGAGGCATGCTCTGTGCAGAGTGAAAAGCATCACTTCAGAAGTCCCGGGTAGTTAGCATCCTTTAGATATTTGCTCCAGGTCATCAGTGTGTTGAAATGAGTAGACGAATAGACTGGCCGGTTCTGCACCACTTGGTAGTGAACTGAGGTATGACAAGCTGGATGTTGTGAGGGCTCTTTAGCAATGAGTGAACAGTTCCAAGGCACAGATAGATCATTACAGCCTGAAGAGAATGGTGCTGCGAGGAGTTACAAGGGGATCTGGCTGACGCTTGACACTCAGGAGAAAGGCGAGATGTATATATATTCAGAATGTTACTTACTAGTACCATCAAAATTGGAACTCTTCGCTTGCTGCTGAAGATGAGGATGGAGCGCTTATTGGGGTTTCCCGAGTGCTATGATGTCAACTCTTTATTTAACATTCAACATTTTTAAAATTCAGTTTCTACAGTGAAAAAATAATGAAATCCATACATGTTATACCAGCAATATTGGTGGGTCTACATAGTGTTAACAACCTGCGATATGCTGATGATACTGTTCTGATCACTGAAAATGAAACACAACTGCAAGAAATGATAGATATAACTGTAGTGGAAAGTTAAAACAAGGGTCTTAGTTTGAACAGCAGAAAACAGAAGTAATGGTAAGTACAAAGAAAATTTACCCTCCAAAATGCAACATCAAAGTAAACAGGACACACCCCAAGAAAGTTGATATGTTTAAGTATTTGGGTACCCTAAAAGGTTACATGTAGAAAAGCTCAAGCAAAGGCAGCATTTTACAAAATGAAGAATTTTTTAATGCAATCTTTCTTTGTCAATTGAGATGAGAAAGAGAATTCTTAAAAGCTATGTAAATCATATCATGACACATGGAAGTGAATCACAGACAGTTTGTAGATTAGTGAAAACTTATTTGGAAGCTGCAGAGATGTGGTTTTTTTAAATATGAATGATGAGAATACCGTGGACAGATACAAAAAGAGTGATAAAAATGTCTTGAAATAAACTGACTCAGGAAGAGAACTGACTGCCTACATAAGAAAGATAATCTACATTCTTTGGCCACATAATGAGAAGGAGAAAACTGAAGTACATCATGACAGTAGGAAAGTTGGAGGGGAAGAGAGGCAGAGGGAGAATGAGAGAAAAGATGGTAAACAGTTTGACATCAGGGCATCAAAGATAATCTGTGTCAGAATTTATTGAAAGGACACAAGCAGAAGGTTGTAGATAGACATGACTACCAACGCCACATGGCACGGACTTTAAAAAGAAGAAGGGTTTAATAATGAAAAAATACGTAAACTAAAACACTAAATTTGCCTACTGTAGTACTATGGCAATCTACTACCATTTGTGGCATATGATTCTCACTTAATGGACAAGGCAAATGTGCACGAGACACCCATTAACATCATTGACGGAATGAATTTTTTTTTTCTTTTAAAGAAACCTGACTTTACCCGGATTGTGGATGGTCTGATCAAACAGCCTTTATCTAAAAGACAACCTGCGAGGCAGACTTTAGAGGATGCACACACACTACACATACACACTCACACACACCCCACACTACATACATACACTCCCACACATCCAACACACACACTACATACATACACTCACACACACCCAACAGACACACACTACACACATACACTCACATACACACAAAGAATATAATTGCCACTTTAGAAGCAAATTAAACAAGAATATATCACAGATTTTGTGTACAGAAAAGTATTGCTTAATTCTGGTGTTACTGGCACACAGGTAGGAGTTGTTTTACTTTTTTGTCTGGTACACCTGTATCAACACAGTGTGTCTAAACATAAATGTATTACATCAATGGAATAAATATTTGAAAATAATGTATATGAAAAAATCATAAAATACGGTCAGTTACCAGATGCAGGTTTTCTTTCAAACTGATATGGCAGGACATTGCATTCTTGCTTTCTAGATCTTTCCAACCGAGACAGATTCTGTTCTGTGCATTTGCTAAGCCTTATCAATGAGTCACTGTACAGCTGTGAAAATAAGAAAATTATTTGCTAGTCAAATGATTACATTATTTCAATAATAGATTATTGTCTAAAATGTTTTTATTTTTTTTTAAACAATCACAATAGCTATGCAGCCTTCTACACATGGGATTTAGATCAAATGTTTAAGGACACCTACTATATCTTTAAAATTATTTTCATGTGCACGTATCAAAGATTGCAAGAATTGGTCCGCTGGCTTGCCAACAAGCATGTCATAAGAGTATACTGATTAGGAGCTGCCTCTGAAGTCTGAAAGAGAAGGAACCAACAGTTTGCATACATAAAAGCCAGATCTGTAAAACAGATTTGCACACAACACTCGGGTTCTGGAACAAGACTAAGGTCCAGCAATGAAAGACCAACCAGAACCTTCTGCTAGAGTTTATGGAATGTTAAAATGAACAAGAAGTAGAAAAGTAACAAGGAAGCTATTTTGATAATAGCTGTTTTTTTTTTAAATTTAGCAAGCATGTGTACATATTTTGAGTATTTAAACTTGACTACAGCCTTATTTTTATTAATTTTGCGTGCTCAACATTCTTTTTTACTGAAATAGGTAGAGTTTTTTGAATTATTATAATATTTTTTAAATATTTTGAGCAAACCCAGAACAGAATGGGAGTTGCCGCGGCCAAGTGGCTAGACATGCCACGGATCGGAAGGTCGTGGATTCGCTCCCTGGCGGAGCCGGACTTTTCTTCAAAAATGACCTTGGCTCCCAGGTCGACCCAGCCTTGAGTGGGTACCAGGTTCAGTCCTGGGAAGTAGAGGCGGCCAGCGTGATGCTGACCACATCACCCATCTTGTGCCATTGGTCTATAAAATATAGGTCTAGCCCTATATGCCCTATAGCTTAAAGGCGTGGAAAAGGGTCCTTTACTTTACTTTTACAAGAACTGATTAAACAAATGGATAAAATAGCAGAAGAAAATATACTTTCGACCTATAATCCATGACTTTTTAAATCTATTCACCACAGAGAGAGAGAGAGAGAGAGAGAGAGAGAGAGAGAGAGAGAGAGAGAGAGAGAGAGAGAGAGAGAGAGAGAGAGAGAGAGAGAGAGAGAGAGAGAGAGAGAGATAAAAACAGGAGTACAAAAGGAATGGTGCTATTCCCTAGCCTTTTCACTTATTTTCAGAAAATATTTTTTAAAAATTTGAAGAACTGCCTAGAATGAAAATCAATGGGAGAATAATAAACAACCCGTAATTTGATGATGGCACAGTGTTACCAGCAGACAGTGAGCAAGAGTATCAAAACCTGGTCAAACCTGTAAAGGGACATAGGGAACATCACAGTAAAATGAAAGATACTGGACTGAATAATACGTTTTTTCTTTTCTTGTCAAAGGTTGCCTGTTATATATTATAACAAGCCGGGCAACATCAAGAGGTCGATGAACAAAATTCTGAGAGAATGTACACCCAAGACTTTGGTCCCAGTATAAAGATATTTTTCTGTTATACATTAATTATTAATGATTTAATATAATATATACTCATAGTTGCTTGCACAGTATTTGTTTTGGCTCTGACATTTTTTTCTTGATTCCCTATTTGCAATTGTATTACCATATATTATCCCATTGGCAATGAGCACTGAGCATGTTCTCATGTAAAGAAAATGTAGTAGCGAAGAGATCTCTTTCTACTAAATCCAGTCTGCTACATGTTTAAGGTTTTTGTGTGTCAAAACTAACACAAGTTTCAGTGGACGAAGAGGTAAAGAAAAGTTTATGGCGTTGGATAGGACACATGTTGAGAAAAACCTAAGAACAATATAACTAGAATATCTTTGCACTGGAACCCACAGGGGCAAAGAAACTAAAGGCAGATCAAACACACGTGGAGAACGAGCGTAGAGAGTGAAGTTAAAAAGATGGGGAGGACATGGGAAGAGCTGCATGCAATAGTGAAGGATAGCACAATTTAGCCAGTTGGTTAAGGGCCAATGTTCCATTGGGGGTTAGAAAGGCAAAAAGAAGAGAGTAATAGCTTTAGTTGTTATAGTACATATAACAGACTAATTTCCCATAAGAAATAAAGGGCAAGTAAATATCTGTTTCCATGGAAAGAAGCCTAGTGTTATAATACTTTTACAGAGTTGTATAAAATAATTTCTGTACTGACTAATGCTAAAATGCATAAAAATAAAAAAAAAGCAGGTGAAAAGTTTAACCTCGCTTACCTTCCTGAAAAGAATCAAGTGCCTACAAGGATCATACTGAGCAGAGAGGTAGGAGGAGCAGATGGGTATTGTCTGAAATAGGGTCCCTTTCAAATAAATCTTCAGGAATCTAAATTCTGGTGGTTGTTGTTTCTCTTTTTATTTGTTCGCATCTCTTTTTTTTGATACCCGACCAGGGTTACAGCCCATCAGGATTAACTTTTACTTAAAATGCCGGGCAAAGAACTTTGCTTCTTGCCTTCTGCTTAGGAATTTTCGGATATATTAAACTGTCTGGTTATTCCAATGCTAATATGGCTCGTTTTGGGTTTTTGTAAAGTCATTGACATCCTTCCATATGGTGAATATTTCCTTGATTAACGAGAGAGGTAAATAAGGGTACTGCACAATGGTCATGACTCATTTGACTTTCATACAAGTTTCTAGGCAGTGGGACGTATTTGAAATAAAGTTTGTATACCAAGCAAAAGTTTGTGCACCCTAAACAGGATGTATACCTAGTTGAATTATATACCAAGGTGAACATATACCAAAGGTGAATATATACCAAGGGTGTACATATACAAAGGGAACATATACCAAGGTGAAAACATATACCAAGGTGTGAACAGTATACCAAGGGAACATTACACAGGTGAACATATAACCAAGGTGAACACATACACCAAGGTGAACATATACAAAGGTGAACAAAAATACCAAGGTGAACTTATACCAAGGTGAACATATACCAAAGTGAACATATACCAAAGGTGAATATATATCCAAGGTACCACGTATATCGGGTGTGTAGTTCAGTAAAGGTCCCTTTACATGCAAGCATCGGACATGTGAGGCTAAAAACTCACTAGACTAGTGGCCCTCAATGAGTGATGTGGTCAACACTACTGTTGTGTGCTAAATGATTACCACTAGTCAGCACACTACTAGGTGTCTAGAAGGTACCCTTCCGCCTCCTCTCTTAGAAACAGAACTCGAAGACAATGACCACTGTCATACATTTCATTCAACAGGATACATGACACAAATGCAGAGACGTAGTTTATTGATCACAGTTGACATTCGCACCAAATTCATTTGTCTCAATTGATCTCTCTCTGTTCAATTTGGTAGCGAGTATCTCCTTGACCACTACAGCTCCAAGGACTACATCGATCCCACACTCTGGAGACGCCGCCCTTACAGATGAACAGGACAAAGTCTACCATTCACTGGACAGTGATATTATTTCAGCATATAACACGGCTGACTGGAGACGGAACTTCCCTTGCTGTACTCCGAAAACCCACAGCTGTCCGTCAGCTTGCCGAAGGGCTCCGATGACTGAAAGGTCTTCTACCATAAGTCCCTATGCTAGCACACAGCTCTCGTCGGCACCACTGCCCCCCTGTTCTGGTTCACTAGTGGTCCTCCTATGTCTCACTATGTCGCCACCCAGACAGGTACTACTGGAGCCTTCCCGTCCGCCTGGACTTACTTCGCCAGCGGACCATACTTCGACCAGTACCTGCAACCTCAACACTTAATTCAGACCTAAATGCCTGATAGTCGTATGGTATTCTTGTCTGTTTAGACTCCGAGAGAGATATCACGGACCCTGACTTGGTCTCTGACTCTCACTCTTTCTCTCTCTCTTCTCTCTCGACTAGCCTCTGATTTGACTACTCAGCCACTCTAATTTTACCCCCTCAAATCCATGTAGGTGGATGATGATTACACGAGAGGCACGCTTGTATGGGGTGTTATTGTGACTCTGATCCCGTGGGTGTTCTTGGAACTCACACTCATGTGGGCGTTCTCGTGGATCACACTTATGTGGTGGCTGATGTTACCTGAGCAATCACGCTGTCACTTAATTCACACACTTTCTCTATCTCGCTAGCCATGCTTTCAGCACCCCACACAGTAACCCACACGTTCCACTTTCTCGTGGCGCTATATAAATTACTCACATACCCACTGTCCCTTCACACAATATCACACTTTACCCAAATCAGTGCGCAACAACCTACACCAGTGGCTTCTCCTTTAATTAATCCTTTAACTAGTCAAGATTCACAGCTATATGTTAAAAGAACTGGCTCCACATAGCATGCATAAATTTCTTTTATAATCATCACTGACCTCCTTTCTGTGTTTTTCATCTCTGTCCTATATTTTCAATCGAATAATACAATGTACCATGTGCCCCTAGATACTTAAATTATGTACTTGTCTCAAAATAATGCCTTTATTTTGTATTATACAATTTAGTTACAATTCGTTATTTCTTTGAAATTATCTATTACTTCGTCTTCTCATTGTTCAAACTGAGAGGTCCAATTCTATCACATATTCTACCACCAACCACATTACTATCAATTCCTGTAGTTCTTTCCACTTGTCTCTATCGAAGATGGTGTCATCAAGCATGACGATAAGTTGTTTAGTTATGACCACCAACCACAATTCCTGGCATTTCATGACAAAACTCAATATATATTCACTGCGTAAACGGAAAACAGATCAACTGATAGTACACATCCTCGTTTTGTACATTCCTCTTATGCCTCTGAAATAATACCAAATGATTGTTTAGTTGCTTATAAGCGCTGTTTGGTTCCAGTATAATGTTTTTTTGATTAATTTTGTAGATCTTTTTCATAGTAGATTTTAATTATTTCCTTAGATTCGTACAGTCAAATGTCTTTTCATATAGTCAATGAAGCATAGCACAGATGGATTTTTACTTATGTAGCTCTTTTACTTATGGGTCCTGAGGATGTTTCATGGACACTTTTTGCAACCTTTGCATT